TGTAATGAAGTAAAGTATCTAGGAGTCATCTTCGACAGCAAAATGCTATGGAATAAGCACATTGAGTACGCTGTAACAAAAGCCACACGAGCTTTAATGGTGTGCAGGAGACTGGCCGGCAAATCGTGGGGGTGCAGCCCCTACATCCTACGATGGATGTACACAATGATTGTCAGGCCAATAGTTACATATGGAGCAGTGGCATGGTCCGAGCGGGCTGCCCTCAACACGGTAAGGGCGTCGCTTTCCAAGCTGCAGTGACTGGCGTGCACCTGTATAACAGGTGCCATGCGCACCTGTCCCACTGCAGCCCTGGAGGTAATCCTGGACCTGTCGCCACTGCACATAGTCATAGAACAAACCGCCAAAAAAGCCCCCCTAAATTTCATGAGGGAGGGCACTGGAAAAGGCAAGGTGGTCTCGAGCAGACTCGGAGAGGAAATCAAAAGCAAGATTCCTATCTCCCAGCTCAATAGAGACGACATGGTTAGGCTAAGAACCTTCGAGAAAAAGTTTAGAACCGAACTAGGGAGCAAGGCAACCTGGAACGAGGCAATGTTAGATAACACCTTTCGGCCCCATACCCAAAGGTGGTTCACAGATGGCTCCAAAACCGACGAAGGGATAGGGGCAGGAATACATGGCCCCCAAGCCAATATCTCCATTCCCCTGGGGAACTATCCCAGTATCTTTCAGGCGGAGGTTTTTGCCATCGACATTTGTGCGGAGGTAATTCTGCAGAGACAACCAAGAAAACAGCACATTGTCATATGCAGCGACAGTCAGGTAGTTTTTCTGAAGTAATATTTAGGTACTAAGCAGTTAAATAGCGTTTCTTTTGAAATTGTGAAACACATATTAGGAGTAAATAAAGAGAATCTTTGTAATTTCAAATTGAAGCAGAAAGAAAATATGAAATCTTGAAATCTTGGTGAGGGTTTACCATACGCAAATATGAGCGGCTAAGTTCAGATTATTGGTGTGTGGTGTTGCACTAGTGCAACAGAGGGGAAATGGGTGTGGCGCCGAAACGATAAAACAGACATGTGACTAAACGGACCTTAGACACATACATGCATACGGACTATTGTCAGGAATAGGGGACCTTGCGGAGTAGTTGGAGTCGTGGCAGGGTCCATGGCTGCTTCGGGTTTATAAGCAGATGGGGAGGGATATAACTCCGCCTGACCGGACTGTTTTCCTTCTTTTCGCATTCTCTCCTCTTCTTGAATCTTCATTTTTCAGAACAAGGCATGACCCTACGTAATTTTGTTAATGTGGTTGTAGGTGAGATTGATGGAAATGACCCCCCCCCAGCCGACGAGCTAGCCTGGGCTCGCCAGCATGCCTTAGTACNGGTTTATAAGCAGATGGGGAGGGATATAACTCCGCCTGACCGGACTGTTTTCCTTCTTTTCGCATTCTCTCCTCTTCTTGAATCTTCATTTTTCAGAACAAGGCATGACCCTACGTAATTTTGTTAATGTGGTTGTAGGTGAGATTGATGGAAATGACCCCCCCCCAGCCGACGAGCTAGCCTGGGCTCGCCAGCATGCCTTAGTACCACCGTAATCCGCCCCAAAAGCCAGCCACGTTACAGACCCCTATCTCCTCCATTACAAAATATTTGAACTTCTTTTACCAGCACGTCGGTCAAATTATAAGTTTTTCGATTTGAGGAAGTTTTGAGCAGATTGATCTAAAAAATTATCTAACTTTTCCTTAAAGCTCTCTGTTTCAAACTGCAATTTAAAAGTACAGTTTCAAGCTTTTTGTTAATTGCAGTCAAAACGGCATTTTACAAAAATCATGCTTTAAAATTCATAAACAAATTCTTACTATCCATTCGATATTTCAAAATTTGTAATGCAAGCAAATCCCTTGATTTCCGGGACGTCAAAAACACCGGGATCCCGGGATTGGCATCCCTAGTATGTATGCACATTCCTCACAACTAGCCAGCAGGGAGTAAACTAATTGAATGGTAGACGCGCTATAAATACATGCATACATACGATACGATAAATTACCCCTTCCCTGCAGTAAATCGCGCTAGTTCAGGACCAGCGCAGAACTAGCTCTTTAAGAGGCGGTAGTGGTTCTCGATCTATCCCAACGCAATGCTTTCAACTGTCTCTTTTTACATGGCGATGTCCTACGAAGTGGAAATTGCCACCCTCTGCAGAACTTTCGAACTAGTTCTAAACTGGTTCCAGTTTGGACAGTTCTGAGACAGTAAGTTTTTCTGAGGAAAAATTTTAAAACTCGATTACTAGATTATTTTTCTATTCTAAACTAGTTCCACTTTAGACAGATCTGCGACAATAAGTTTTTTATTAAAAAAAAACCTGATGATTAGATTTTTTTATATTTTTTCGTTTTTCCTGTTCTTTTACAGATTGCATTCTATTAAATTTTTATTTTTGTATATTATTTGATCACTTTCTTTTCACGGCACTCAACAATTTAAATTTCTTAAATCTGAAAATCACAACTGCCTCTACCGCGATTTGAACTCGTGACACGATATTAGAGCCGGAGGTCTTCCCGCTGAGCTATTTTCGTATTGTACGAGAAGTGAGAATTTGCGCATTTACTTCTCAACAGAGCGCAAATAACACACCGAGAGTTTCAACTGTCCCTCTCCGCAGCCGTTTTGCACTAGTTCAGAGATGGTTGTGAAATATGTAGGGCGGAACTAGCGCTTTAAGAGACTGTAATTTTACTCATTGTGGAAGAATACAAGTGAGATATCTTAGGGTTGACAGATAGTTGACAGGGTGTTCAATATGGCGATGCCAGTGTGAACAATATGGCAGCCAATATGGCATACAACACCGAATGGCCCGAAGTTGCAAAACTACGACCCGAATGAAACGCTTCGTGAAAATCTAGGGTTGCGAAGTGGTATTTTGTTGGAAAATATAAAAGCCAGGATTTTGTGCAGCGCCGAATTTTAACAAAAGAGGGTTTTGTGTGCTCAAGATGAACAGGAAAGGGTTGCTGTGCTGTTTCGTTTTAAGCTTATTTTTATTTTAACGTATCTAATTAAATATTAAAAGGAGACAAAAATTAAAGCAAAAATTTAAAATATATGTACATATCTGAAAATTTTAAATAAAATATATATTTTCACGAGAGACAAAGTAAATAAATTGGATTAACTTTAGGGGAAATATACTTATCAGATTGGGTCAGATAGCGCTTTTACGTTATAAATAAAAATAATTCCTACTTAAATTTTATATAATTTTGGTGACGTATTTCTAAGCTGACCCTGAGATCTGTGAAATAATACATATTTATGTGCATACATTGTGTTGATTATGCTCCAAATCGCTAAATAATTCTTGCAGCAATCAGCACCATTGGAAAGTGAAGTGACAATAGGCTGGTTTTCTTTATACAGCCCGTTTTAAATTCGTATTATTGTTATAATAAATTACAATTATTGTTTGTTTCCATTTCGGTCAACNACCATTGGAAATTTTCGGAAAGTAGAAATAAACTAAATTAAATTTATTCAATTATTAATAAAAGAAATTGGAGACAAACGTAGAACTGGGACGATGTGTTCCGCATCCGCAAACGAATGTTTGTTTGATGAATCAGGTTATTGGCCTGGCGTCTAATGAAGCATTATCGTCATGATTAATGTTCAATCTCCTTTT